CCCCCCCCCCCCCCGACTTGGTGGAGGGGGGGCTGGGGGTGCAAATGTAAGTACTGACCCACACTAGTCACTGGCTCCACAGCTAGAGGGTTAACCCTCTCTGTCTCTACAGAACTGACAGCGGCTTTTGGCTGCTGAGCCAAAAGCTACTGCCAATTTGTCGGTGACTGAGAGAGTTAAACCTCTAGCTGTGGAGCTGCAATGAAAAGGTAAGGGATAGCAATGAGTGGACTTCACCCTTGCTCCGTGCACAGCCCCCAACAGCTATTCCAGCATCCCCATGCCTCCGTCCCTTGATAACGACTTGCACCCCAATTTTTTTTTCACAGGACCTCACAGGAATTGTGAGGTTTGCAAATGCTTGTAAAGAGCTTTTGGATTGCAAAGCAACGTGCTATTGGTATGGCAGCTGTAAAGTTTGTTCATTCTGTTTATGTAGCAACATAACTCTTATTAGAGAGAGACGTAAAATGAAAAATAATATTCCCCAATCCCCAATTTTCCATTTGGTAAGATAAATGCACGTACAACCAAAATGGTAGAAGTAGTAACAAGGATTCATTGGGTAATGAATGTCCTAATGCCCTTCAATTAGTATGTGTTGCTTTCCATTGCAATTACTGCAGCTTAAGAGGTAAAGTGATTAATTTTTTTTTAAAGGAGTTAGGATATTTGAAATATTTTATTTCAAATGACATTTTGAGCAGCAGTGCTGAATTTCCATGACTGTGCTTCACGATTGAACAAGTGAACAAAACGAGCAATTCTTTACTCATCAGTTTGTCTTTATATTTGGGGAACAGCAGACAAGTCTTTGCTTTTTAGAGTTCTCCCTTGACAGTATGCAAAACTAATATTGGATAAAACATGTTATTAACCTTGAGTTTAAATTCAACATACTTAATCCTATGATTAATGCTATGATTAATGCCCACCAGCAAAGGTTGAAAGCTTAAATGTTTGTGAATGCAAGCATGAAATGAAATTGGAATAATGACTACAATGATGTGGATTTATGAGGTGTGTTGGCTACTAAAGATAACTTAGAAATGGTGTTGCACATAGTAATTTGTCAAAGTGGGCAGTGATGGAGAATTGACTGTTTATAGTGGCTGAAAAGCTGAATGATAAATTTTTCTACAAAAACTGAGTTGTGGGTAAGGAGATGAGTGGCTGGCTTAAAACCACTATTGTGAGGAAATTGTAGGTGTTTAAGATTTGCAGTTCCTCTTGGGACTACTATATAGGAAATAGTTGGTTGTGCACGCATACACACATGCACGTGCGCGCACACACAAATATATTTTAAACGAAAAAAGTAAGTCTTCATAATAGAGTGAGAGAGAAGGGTGTGGGCCGCCTTTATTACACCAACAGTATGGCATACACCTATTTTATCTTTTAAATTTCATCTCAACATGCATGACTGCCTTTCCTGAAGTCCTTCACTAATGAATAAAATACTTTGTACTTATCTCACACACTATCTGTAAGTTTCAAAGTTGAGATAGGAGCCCAAATACTATATCATGTCCTTCACATTAGAGAGTAAAACAAAGGCACTGAAAAGTCAAGTGACTTACCTGAGGTCACATAGTATCTTAGAGGCAGAGCTACTCAAGTCCCATTCCATATATCCCCTTGATTTTATATGCTCTGTTTGCAAAATGGAAGATAACTCAGAGAAATCTAGTCTACCCCAGTCTTTATTTTGTACAGCCAATACAGATTCAAGTATTATCTGCTCTCTGACGCCTCTGGCTGCTGCTGGCAGCAGCATCAGAGGAAGAGCCTGGGAATTGCTGACAGCTAAAACATACTCTGTCCTCTACCCTTTCTCCCATGTGTGTTTGGCTCTGCAGAGAGGTTGCAGGGGAGAGCAAGCAGAAGGTGAGAGTATCCAAAAATAAAAGGCTGTTTCCCTTACAGCAGTGGGTCTCAACCTTTTCAAGACACCCCTTGGAAAATGGCAGCTCTTAGTTTTCAGTTATTTTTGATGAAATAATATAGCATTTTTTGTTAGAAAGAACTTGGAAAGATCACAGCAGTTCAGAATGTTTTTAACACTATGAATCTCTCTCTGAAATCTCTGGGGTTATCTTGTGAATTCTGTTTGCCCATCTGTCATGGGGAGAAATGGAGGGGCAGACCCTGAGGAGCCGGGGGGAACCCTGGGAGCAGGAACTGGCTGGGGAAGGTAAAAGGAGAAAGAAAGAAACAAAACTTCTTACCTGTAGCGTGAGCCGCGGCAAAGCCGGAAATGGCGGCAGGACCTCGGCGGCTCATTAGCCGCGCCTTTATACAGCTGCGGCCAGCTGATAAGGCAGACGGCAGGAACTGGCTGGGGGAAATAAAAAGAGCTGCTGGCGTGAAAGTGGGGGAGAGACCCGCAGGAGCACCGGCCGGGAAGTCTCACCCGGAGCCCCCACAAGGGGGAAAAGCGTGGGAAACTGCCTCTCGCAGCACAGGAGGATGCAGTGAAGCCTGCCATGGGGAAGATGCTGCTGGCAGCAACGCAGGGAGTGAGGGATCAGAGGCACCTCATCCAGACCGGGAACCAGAATCAGGGGACCGGGAAGAGCCGGAGGAGCTTGAAGCCTGGGGTTACCACCAAAGAGCCGGAAGAGTCGTCAGAATCCAAAACGCCAGATCAGGTGGGACCATAGAGGGCTTGGGAGGGCTTGAGGAGGTGCCCCAGGTGGGGGACAATGGGCACGAGCAGCGTGAAGGGCGGTGGAAGACGGACCTCAACAGTATAGAGCCGCCCCGACAGGAGACGTGGGGAAGACATGCCGAGAAGGACCACCGAGGGTCCAGCAAATCCCCGGGCTGGGCAAAGAGTGGAGAGGAGGACGCTGTAGCCTGCAGTCTACCCCAAACCCAGTTTAGGGCTTGCTAGGGGCCTTAGGGGCCTGGGCCATGCTGGCCTGTAGAGCAGGCTCTGGGAGCATGCGGTAAAGGGGGCAGAGGGCCTCCCTTAGTATCTTTGTGTTTCTCTGTTGTTGGTATTTTTTCCCTTTTTTTTTCATTTCCCACTTTTGGAGGGGTTGCTGGGTGAGGTATATGGAGCCTGTGTGTTGTTTAAACCCAAAGGGGGTTTACAGTCACAGGAAAGGCTAGATGGCCATGAGGCATGGTGGGAGGAGTTAGGGTTTGACCCAGCTGCCCTATAACCCGTTTCTACAAGGGACACGGAGCCTCAACTGTCCGGGACTTGGCCAAAGGACATCAGGAACTCGTCAAGGCAGGGTGTAAGGGCGAGGTAGAGGGGAGGTTGGAGCCTCGCAGAAGATCATCGTCCAGCAGTCCCATACGCGAGAGAGCCCCAATAGTCAGACCGCTGTGGCAGGTGAGATTGGGGGAGAGACTATCCGGCAGGACCACGGGGAAGGACCAGCGGACCACCCCGAGTATCCAGGGCCGCGTGGGGCGTGACCAGATGTTCAAGACCAGGCGGGTACACTATCTAACAAAGCTAACATCTAGGGATTTCAAGAGACTTCAGTGTGCTGCAGCTACCTGCTTGAGACTCTGTCTTAGAGATTTGCATATGTATGGAGTGTGTACGGACTTAGATCCCTTCCTGTCTATGGCAGACAGCAGTCTACTTGTGGCCATTTCATAGGACCATGCTTTCCTTGAATACTACCTCTGTATCTCTGTCCCTGGAGTCTGTGAAGGGCTAGATCATGGAGAAATGACCCATTTGAGAGGGCTTAATCAGGATAGCACAAATGCTCCTCTGAATGCAGCCTCCAGGTAGATCAGATCCTATTCCTTCCCACATTGGCCAAATGAAGAAAAGGTTAGACATTAACTTATTCAGGTTAAACAAACATTGAAAATTAAGATTCTAGGGGATTTAACATGTCTATTATTTTGCAACAAAAGTTTGCCCTTTTAAAAAAAAGACTTGCTGTTAAAATATTATATTATATTATATTATATTATATTATATTATATTATATTATATTATATTATATTATATATGGGGTTTTTTTTTTCATTACATGCTTTTGGTGAAACAGCAAATTGCTCAAAACACTGAAACTTCACCATTTAGTGCCACCAATGCAGTCTGTGGTTTGTAGGGATGACTTTGCCTCTGGGAATATTCTGTCTGTAGACATTCATGATTTATTCAGTAGAGAAACTGCACTTTATTTTAAAATGACAGTTTATAGCAGAAAATGGAGGATTTAAAGAACAAAAATAATACTGTCTTTTGATT